GTCATGCCCAACTGAGCCTGGTTTCTCTCGAGGTTTTTTTCCTTCACTTTCGTCAATTGGTAAGTTTTGTTCCTCGCCACTGTGGCCACTGGCTTGCTTGGTTTGGGACTTGATTTAGGATGATTAGGATTAGGATTGATTAGGATTTGCTCTTCAGTGTTTGGACTTTCAGCAGTGAAATTTAAACCACAACGAACTGAACTAAACTGAACTTTAACTCTGAAAACTGGCTGATACAGTTTAAATTTACTAGAACTTCTTTATTAAGCTGCTTTGACATAATCTACATTGTTAAAGCTCTACAGAAATAAATATTAATTGAATTAAATTGAAGAGAACTTCTCAATGAACTGGTGCAGTTATTTATTTATTTGTATTTTTAGCACTTTCTTCATATTTAATTTGAATGTTTAAATTAATTAATTTACTTCAGAAGTTATTCTGTAACTGCATTTTATTTGTGTTTATGTCATGTTATAGTTCTTAAATTGTATTCATACTGGTCTGTGAGGTCTTAAATGAACTTGGGAACATGCAGAAACCATGTGATTTTCTCTTTTCAGTTGATCAGCCATTTTGACCAGCTTAATTCAGCTAAGACAGCAAACAGTTAAGTAAACTGCAAGATTGCTTGCTTAAAGATGCTGATTAAACAGAGTGAACAACATAAATGAAATTAAACTACTCCATCCATATAAACACACATGCTCTAATATGTCAACAACAAAGCTCATGGAAGCCAAGTCTGCCATTTAACCAATAAAAAAATAAAATATTAATAGCTAATGCTCTAGCTTTGCCAATACACAGATGAGGAGACAAAGAGGCCATTTTAAATGGATGTTAATGGAGGAAAGGCTTCACTTCGCTGAATAAGCTGCTTTTGTGTAAATGGTTGAATTTAGATAAAACAGTGTCAGGATCTGTCATTTTATGACTTTAGTTTTTACATGTTATGATTTTGTTCCACCTCTAGATGTCCTCAGTTCTCCCCATGTGTTGTATGAGTTCAGTAATTATTACGTGATTGTTTTCAAATGTGTCCTGTTATGTCATGTGTATTTAAGTTGACTAGTTTCCCGATTCTTTGCTCGGTTACTCGGTTATTGTTGATGCTAGCCCTTGGTTATCGTAAGTCTTAGCTTGCTTTTCTAAAGTCTCGTCTACTTAGAGTTTTGGGCTACGTTATCTTTTTTAGTTTTTTTTGGATGTGTTTCTCCTGCTCTAGTTTTTGTCCAAAGATATTTTGCCTGTTCGCCTTTTTGTTCCTCTGTAAGTCCTTTTTATCTCTGCTTTTTTTTTTTTTTTTTTCTAATCTGGATTTTTATTTTTTGTAAATCTCTCACAGTGCAAGTAATGTCTTGTTGTAAGGTTCATTGTCTGTGGCTCAGTGATTAGCCTTCAGACTCTGACACTGGAGACCTGGGTTCAAACCCTGTCTTTGACAAATAGCGTATTCGCTAGTTTTGCCCTTAAAAGAATACTGCACTTTTTTTGGAAGTAGACTAAATTCACAACTCCCCAAGAGTTAAACAGTCGAGTTGTACCATTTCTGAATCCATTCAGCTGATCTCCAGGTCTAATGCTGCGACCTCTTAGCTTAGCATAGATCATTGAATTGGATCAGACCATTAGCATGTTTTATCCAAAGATTTATGCTAAAAGTGCTCCCACCAGGCCCAGTAATCGGCTGCATAAATTCAGAAGTGGTGCAACTCAACGGTTTAACTTTTGGGGCAATGTAAAAGAGCCTATTTCCAGAAATATATGCAGTGTTCCTTTTAACCAGCAGTTTGTAGATTAAATATTTTTCAAGTTTATGGCAGAAAAAATATATAATTTACTACGGAAGTCACTGATAATTTTGTGACAGGATTCATAGCCATATCCCCTGCAGACCAAGACCTGTTACTCCCTGAAGCCAAGCAGGGCTAAACCTGTTTAGTACCTGGATGGGAGAACACACAAAAAAACTAGGTTGTCAACCTGCTGTCTGTGTGAGTCCTAATACCCCAGTATAGCAACAGGGACTCTATATGATGAGGCTATGGCAGGGCAATCTTTTGGATGAGGCATTAAACTGAGGTTCTGACTCTCACTGAAAATCCTAAGTCAGTTCTTGTAAAGGGTAGGAGTGTAAATCTGGTTTCTTGGTGCCAGATTTCTCCCCTTAGCTCTTACCCATCATATTCTCATAACCCTCACCATTCACTGAATTTCCTCTACCACTGTTACGGTCACCCATTATATGCAGCTGGTGTGTGGTTCATGCACTGGCACCATTGTCCTGTGGTTCCTGTTGCATCATCCAGGTGCCGACGCATAACCTTGCACTGCCCCTCATGACTATAAAGCTCTTTGGGTGTATGGACATTCACAATATATGTGATATAAATGCACATTACATTACACTTCACATTAATTAATTTCTGCAAACAGAGTCAGAAAGACTTTTCTCTCTTTATGATGTAAAGGCTGTAATGTGCTATAAAATGCACATATGATCACATACTTTGTTTTCTCAAATATATAGATTTGCTGTTCCCAAATTCAGAAATTGCACAAATAATATTTCCTGGTGTTCACATATGTAAGTGCTTGCAAATGAATGCAAAGCAATGTACATTTTATATAAACAAATATAATAAAAACATTTAATAAATAAATCTAGCTTTATAATATAAATTTATTTAAAATACTCTAAGTTCACTTTAACCCAATTTTCACTTTTTGCACTTTGGGAATTGAAGATACAGCAAGGATCCATTATTCCGAAATATAATATAATATGATATAAATGTTTATCCTCACTGTATTCACAGCTGTTTTAACATATCAGAGAAGAAAGCGTCTGATTAGCAGTGTGGATCTATGTTCCACTAGCTCTCCAATTCAACTCCTCTCTTTGACTGCTACATTAAAAAACACATTTGCTACAATCATTTCTGAAAAATATTGTCCCTTTGTCTTAGTTCATGTGTCACCATTTTTCATGACTTGATATAAATGATTTGTGCAGAAATGACGGTTACAGTATTTTTTGTATTAGCATATTATTTTTGAAAGATATAATTATTTTTTACAATTTCACAACAATATTTGTACAAATAATCACTTAGTCATATTGTCTTCTGTAATGTTATATTTGCATTTTTTGCAAATATAAAATGTTTTAATGAAATTGAAAAAAACTGTCACTGTAATTTAGAATATATATATATATATATATATATATATATATATATATATATATATATATATATATATATATATATATATATATATATTAAAGATTTAATACTGAAATGCCATATTTACAATACGATAAGTTCTGAATACTCATTCTGTAATTTGCCTTATGTTGTCATTTCTTTATTTATTTTTTGTAAATTATCAGATTTTTTCAAATAAATAATAAAAGGCAGTTGGTATAGAAATTACTTCTACAACTATTTTTATTTAAAGCAGCAACTTTTATAGATAATACAGCATGTTTTAGAATAATTTCTTCATTATGTATATTTTTTCACTTTGCATTCTGTAATGTTGTCTTTGGTAAATTAACCTTTTTATTAATTTCATTTACTAATCAGGGGTGACCAGGTGGCTCAGTGGTTAGCACTGTCGCCTCAAAGCAAGATGGTCTCTGGTTCAAGTCCCGGCTGGGTCAGTTGGCATTTCTGTGTGGAGTTTGCATGTGTGCATGTTTCCTCTGGGCGTCAAAGACATGCACTATAGGTGAATTGGGTGAACACAATTAGTGATGCAGGAGTGTGTGTATTTCCCAGTACTGGGTTGCAGCTGGAAGGACATCTGCTGCGTAAAACATATGCTTGAACAGTTGGCAGTTCATTCCGCTGTGGCAACCCCAGACAAGCAGGGACTAAGCTGAAGGAAATTTAATGAATGATTGAATAATCTGCACAAACGGCGTAGAAATGACTGCCACTGTAATGTTTCTATTATTTACTTCATATGGGCTCACTGAATATTACTTCAGTCCTAATTTTTCTGTCAGTTTACGTTCCCTTTTTTGGCAAATTATCAGCTTTTTAAATTACCTACAATAAACGATGCTAGAGTCATCTGTCCTGGTAATTTTTGTCCCACTAACTTTTATTTACAGATAAACTGAAATCCCATAAACTGTCTTTAAAAAATATAATTTTGCCTTATGTTATATAATTTTTTTGTAAGTTTTGTAATAAGTAAACAATAAAACATTGCTTTAAAACATTGAGTGTAATTGAAGCTATTTTATACAGTATCTTTTTATCAACAAAATATGCACTGCAAGGCTAATACAAAAAAAATTTCAAAGTTTTTTTTATCATTCTGTCATGTCACATTTAATGTAATATTTTTGGCATATTTTACATTAGAGATTGCTGTCAAAGTAATATTGTACTTTAAACTTTTATTTAAATGCATAATAAAACGACACATTTACTCCAACAGTCATTATAAACCAAATGTAAAAAAGCAGTCAGTAAATTTGCTTAATGCCTTTTAAATGACAGTTTTGTCTAATTCCAAGTTTTGTAGCTTACTGAAGCACCATTAACCATAATTGTGGTCATTATCCACAATTTCCGTTTAAATGAGCACAGCAACTCTGCTTATTTGTCTATAAATAAATAAAAAAATCTCTCAAATAACAGTTTTGGGCCGATGCCACACGCGGGACACCGCCACGTACACTCGCCCAGACCTGAGTGGCATTTCAAATCGATCATCCATCGTCTGCGTCCTCGGGAAAGCCCTTCACCTCCACCTGATGGCAGCATCACGCAGCCTCTTCTCGCGGGTGCGTGGGAGTTCCCTGCTTCGCCATGTCGGGGTGGTGCAACGCGCTGAAAGGATCTCCCGATCTCTCTCTCTCTCTCTCTCTCTCTCTCTCTCTCTCTCTCTCTCTCTCTCTCTCTCTCTCTCTCTCCCTCCACCGCCTCCACCCCATCAGCAGCACCATCCTCCCACTCACGACAGTCTCAGTCTCAGCAGCAGAAGAAGCATCGTCCTCCTCCACCCTCTCCAGGCAACAGCAGCAGCAGCATCAGCACCATCATCATCATCCGGCGGTGAGACACGGAGGAGACGCATCCGAGTGATGCCACTGCACCAACCGCATCTCGTCACCGCGAACACACGCCGAGAATAAAGCGCTTCTTCTGCGAGGAGGGAGAAACACATTCGCCTGGAGACATTCACTGCCCATGAAGATGTCTAACGCCGACATGGTCTTGAACTCCACCGATCGGGTAGTGAAATGTAAGTGAATGGCGCATATTTCCCTACCTATTTGCTTCTTACCTGGGTTTTTCTTTTGCGATGTCGCGCCGTACTTATATAGGGCTACTAATGCTAATTAAGACGCATCGAGCGCGTTTGTTAATGTGATCGGTTTACGTTCTGGATTGAAGTGTTTATGATTTTGTCTTTGCTTTGGATTGGTGTTAATCGAGTCACAGGCAGGTAGGTCGGGGGAGACGCGTTAAATAAGGCAGATCCAGTGGAGGCGGTGATGCAGCAGGATTTTAGGTGGCATCACGCAGCCCTTCCTGTATTTTCTTCATAGACAATGGAAGCAATAGGGGTTTTCGGCGCGTATCTGAGCTGTTTGCTTTCTCCAGGGAAGCCTCTGAGTCTGAAGGTAAATCATTCGAGCTGGGAACTGTCACGCCCCCGTTGCGTCTGATTGATTTTCTCGCATTTGCTGGTCACGTAGCGCACATTAATATTCGCGAGTGTTCATGAAAGCGGAGATCATTGAGACAGAATATTAGCGTCATGGTGCTGTATAGAAACTATACGTCATTTTAATTAAAGCTACGTTCGGTCATTTTTTTGCTTTAGCAGTATTAATGTCCAAACGTAAACTATGCACGTAAGTAGTCTTACTACAGAAAATATAATTTTATTCAACCCAGAGGGTGGCCACCATGTTTGGATCACGTGATCGTTTTTGTTATTAGTTTGAAAGTAAAAGTAATCTCAAAACATGACTTGCACCATAATTTAATAATAAAAAGAAGACGGACAAAACTACTAATTTAAGCCCAAACTGCTGGTCAGTGAAGCCAACATTTTTTTTAATCATTTTTATTTGTTTATTAATACAATTGGTCACACAACCTTTCAAAAATACTTTATCTGACTCACACACATACACAGGCATTTTAATGTGTATGCATTTCAACAATTTGTATTATTTCTACCAGGCTACAGAGGTTCATGCATAATCTCTCGATATATTATATCCCATACAAATGTCTTTATTCTTGATGATAAAGTTGTACGAATGTACTTTGTATTCTCTTTGCACAATCCCTTATCTTGGTAGGCATCCACAGCCGTTGCTGTAGTTTGCACATATTTTATTGTGTTCTTTTTAGGAAGTTTTTTGGTGATTATGAATCGACGACACCAATTGTACAGCTGCCACCTTGTAAAAAAATTAATCACTACATTAAAAGGAAAACAATATATAAAGTGCACTGTAAATTTACAATGTGCTGATCACTAAAAATTGTGAACCCTACTATGGCTTTATAGGTTTTTGGAGTCCATGCGTCCAGGCCAATAGGTGTCAGCAAAAAGTCTAAAAGCAATGTTTAGACAATGCTTTGTTAACATCATGCGTTTCGCATTTGCAATTTTATGAAATCTCATTTTTCCTGTCATGTCTTATATGTTTGTCTGTTGGCTCCAATGACTCAAATATTAATAAGACAACAAGACATTTTGAAATAGGGTGTTCCTCAGTAGTTACTCTCAAAATACATCATCAGAAAATAACCACATGATCGGTGGCCAAAAGAGAAACGGTTAAAAAGAGCTAAAAATATTAACTTTGATTTTTATTTTATTTTGTTATTTTGCATATTTTTTGGTTATTATTTATTTTGCATATAATAACAGTAAGGAGACATGATTTTAGTTTATATTCATATTTAGACAACACAATACTACGGTGGCTGAGAGAGCTTAACATGATGCAATTTCTGAAAACACGTGCAGTTACAAAAAATGCCAGCAAACTGAAAAAAGATCTTCCTCAGTTTGACAGCACATGTGCTGCAAATCCTTACATCGTCACATTTGTAAAAAACTTGCCTTTTCTCATAACACAAAAAATTTATAAAATCGTTGCATTTTCTCATAATACAACAACAATTGACAAAAATGCTGCATTTTCTTACAACACTTGCAAAAAGATATACGGAAAAAGACATAATGGAAATGTTTCAAGGGGACTTAAAAATGTGACGGACGCTGCTACTTAGGTTATGGGCTGTGTCCGAAACTGTCGACTACTCAGTAGGTACTGCATTTCAATTTAAACGTACTGCTCGGTCGTTAGAAAAGTACATTCTATAAACTATGAATGGGAAAAGTATGGATTTCGGACGTACTACATTCGCCATTTAGTCATGGTCACGTGACCTACCTGCGTCAGTTGCGTCACTTTACTTCCATTCATGAATTCTCTCGTGGGGCATTATAGGATAGCGCAGCATGCATGGGATGCGCACTCCAAAATCTTGCCAGAAGTAGTAAGTCATCCGGGTACTTCTCACATACTGATTTTCAAATTCTATGAATTCTGACATACTACTCGGCTCGCATACTGATTTTAGCGTACTATACAGCATGGAAGTATGCGTTTTCGGACGCAGCCATGGTTATTTAAGCTAATAACATACAAAATACATAAAATAAACAAAAAACTGACCTTTCAAAGATTACAAACAACTTCACTGAGCAATAGTCACGGCACACTGGCGTCCGTCACATTTCAAATTGTGTTCTGTTCTTTTTGCAAGTGTTGTGAGAAAATGCAGCGTGTTTTTGTAAATTGTTAGCATTGTGAGCAAAGTGCAGCTTGTTATATTAATGCTTGTGTTGTGTGAAAATGCAGCACATTTTTTTTTTTGTGTGTGTATGCATCGTGAGGATTTGCGGCACATGTGCTGTTAAACTGATTAAAAAAAAAAAATTCTCAATTTGCTGGTGTTTTTTTGTAACTGCACATTTTTTTTAAGTTCCAACACATTAAGCTCTCTTCGCCACCACCAACTAAAGACTTAAATTAAGAAAATAATATTTGGTGTAATAACCCTAATGAGATCTTAGAGCTAATTTAATGAAAAAAAAAATTGAAGTTTGGAGGAAATGATATCAGATCTTTATAGAATAATACAATTTTTTTTTTAAAAAAAATCTGCATCTCACCTATTAAGTACAGCAAATCCATAGAAAATTGTCTCTTCATTTTTTTACTAACACAGGCTCCTTGGAAAAATGTGTCCAGGAATACATTTTAAAAGAATGTACCCTGTACTACATCCTCTTGCCGTTTTTATTTTCACAAATCCTATATTCTTGTAAATAAGTGTGCTATTGCAAACTCTGGAGATATTCCTCTCAAAACAGTAATAACCCAATGCTGATCTGCTTCTAGTGTTTTTTTAAACGCAAGCTAACACTTCAGCTTAGCTGAAATTAATTTGAATTGCAAAAAAATATTGGCTTGTGAAGTTTTGAAACAATTTCCAGGATATCTTCATTTGCATGCTAATGTGGCCACATTTGAATGCTTTCTACTGCGTTGTTTTAAAAAAAATTTGGCTTCTGAAATGCTTCATGTGTCAAAGACAAACAAAAATGATAATTCTGTCACCAATAACTGTGCAAATTTTATTTAAAAAAAGAAACGTCAAGCAGATTTTTGTGCATAATTGCACATATCAACCTGAAGATCACCCCACGTGTTCTGCAGTCTTGATTTGTTGACATGGACAGTTTTTTGGCAGAACATTTGATTTGCATCTCCTTTGAATGTGGAATCTTATGACAAGGGCCATTATAACTCAGGCTTTGATATAAGTCATCTGACCTCTGGAAAAGTTAAGGTTGCATTAGTCATGTAATGAGTCATAGTAGTGGCCCGTCTCCCCCGCACATAGAGCTAGTTCAGATCTGCCAGTATTAGCCATAATGCCATTCGTCTCCTCTCGCCCTTATGTATAATTGAAGGCTTTTATCATCAACAAAATGCATCAATAAATAAGCACATCTAAATCCCAGTGATGAGGCCGGCTAAGTGTTCGTATTTAGCAGTGTGTGCAGCTCCAAATACAAGAGACAAACAAAGAATTGGAGTCTGTAAGTTACTGATGACATCTCTTCTAAAATTAATATAAAAATCTGATCTTTTTTTAAGTGCATGCCACTGGTTTATACTATATCTAGTTTCTCTAGATATATGAATTATACCTTTGTTTTTGTTTTTTGTTTTATTCTGTGAACTAAATGTAAAATGTTTTCATTTAGAGCATTTTTATTTGCATTAAATAACAAAAAGGTGCCATATTTTCAGAAATGTTTCTGTTAATCTTTAGTCAACACAACACCAGTGCTTTCACTTGGGGAATAACCCTGATTTTTGATCACAAGATATGAAAACACTTGTTATTGTAATAAAAAAATGCTTAAACTTACAATATTTTTATCAGAAATTTGGAGGAAATGTTTATCTCCTCTCCCCCTCATTTATTATTGAAGGCTTTTATCATCAACAAAACGCATCAATAAATAAGCACATCTAAATCCCAGTGATGAGGTTGTCTCCGTGTTCGTATTTAGCAGTGTGTGCAGCTCCAAATACAGGAGACAAATACAGAATTTGTCTCTGCGTTGAATCCCCACGGCAGCAAAGCAGGATTTCATACAACGTGTCATTTGCTGAGTCTCATTTACTAAGTGCAACTAGAGTTGGGCCTTTCATTTCTGCAGTGGCGTAATGGATTTTATGGCGCTTTCCATTTAGTGTTTTGATATGCTGGTTTATCGCCTCGTCTCATGGGAGCCGCGCTGAACATCGCTCTTTGTATGCTAAATCATTATATCGTAGCCGCACTGCTAACGTTCTCCAAACTCGTTTCCAGCTGGATAATGAATCTGTCTAAATGTTCCTGCAATGAAGGCGCTGTGCACATATGAAGCAATGTGAACTCCAGTGCAAATTAGTGTATATAGTGAAAGCATTTACAGGTGTGGAGGGATCAGGCTAAGAATGTTATCATGCTTCATTTAAGGCAGAAGCTGAAGGTTGTGGCTATTCTCTGGTTAAATTCTTTGCACATGTAATAAGAAGAGTAAGAATAAGAACTGTTATTGTTGGATAATTTATATATTTGAAAAGCATTATTAAAATAGTTATGTTAGTACATAACTATTTCATGCATACTATTTATTTTATAAGGACT